GGCAGTAAATTTTCTCTACTTTCACCTTTATACTCCGTTAGCGACGACGGATCTCCTTTCCGTTCTTCTTTGAAGCCATGTGAACCCCAAAAAACCCCTCCGACCCCCTCTAAGTGCTTATTACTGACTAGTACCCAGGACGAAGAAAATTGACACAGTTACAAAAGACAAACTTGGAGAATCATTCAGTATACACTAACCATGACCTGGTTAACCTTTAAATGGTTTTTTAGGTCATTGTAAACAAAACGATGAATCGTTTTGAAACTAATTGAGACTTCCTTTTTTCCTCAGCTTGGATTGGTTCAATATCTGTCAATCTTCTCTTCCTCTTTAGCCCCGTCACCAGTTCTCTTGCGGGGCGTTATGGTGTCCGTATTGTCACGATCGCTGGAGGACTTGTTATGAGTGTTGGACTTTTTCTCAGCTCATACGCGCCTAGTCTTTTATTTCTGTACATCAGCTACGGTTTACTGCTGGGGATAGGAACGAGTCTTTGTGCGACAATGGCACTAATTGTGTCAGCGGACTACTTCGACAAACATCTTTCTTTAGCCACCGGTATTGTCGCATCGGGAAGCAGTTTTGGAACTGTAGTTTTCCCACCTACTCTGCAACTCATTGTACAACGATACGGATGGGAATCTTCTTTTCGTATAATGGGTTTAGGGGGGATAATGATGGCCATTACAGGACTGGTTTATAGGTCCGTGAACAGGCAAAATCATGTTCCTCTCGGCGCTGAAAGAAATCAGTGCTTTGATATGTCGGTGTTAAATAATCGCGGCTTTGTGCTGTGGACGGTTGCTACTACCATAGCAGGATTTGGTTATTTTATACCGCATTTTTTTCTAGTAAGTAAGTCTATTTAACAATAAAATTATGAGCTTGAAATTCTCAGGCGTGATAGTTGATGGAGGCGAAGACTTCATAACTTATCATGCAAGGAATCGAGGGCAAATAATCTAATAGGCTGCGCAAAGTCCCTCTTCTCGGCGAAGTCCGTTGCGCGTATCAAAAGAAATATCGACAAATAAGAATGATAATAATAATAATAATAATAATAATAATAATAATAATAATAATAATAATAATAACGGTAATAATAGTAATAATCGATATAGATCTCTGAGAGGGAGGTGCTCGAAAAGAACGCGCCGTGCCTCACTCTCAGAGCAACGTTCCGCGCGATGCGTTACCATTGATGTTTTTCGTTGATTTTGTTTTGGTCCGCACGGCGGACTTCGCTAGAACGGAGTGACCTCTCGTAGTATAATAATCTATTTGCTCCTTAAAAAAATCTTCTAGTTTTTCAAACGTATAGTAAAGACGGGCTCACGTTTTTTTGTGTTTGTTTTTGCTATCAATTGCACATCGCCAGACTACTTTCTTCACTTATTGTCGGTCACGGAATAGGAATTGGGTAGAATGGCCCGATCAGATTGTAAGATTTGTGATAGAAAGCTTGCAGTCCCAGAGATCACTTTCGTTATAGTCCTAAGACACTTATCATTTAAAATTTAAGGGAAGGTACCCTCTACAGGAAGTTTGGCGTGTCCATCTCGAGAATGCTTTGCATGGAAAGAAAAATAACTACTGCGGAATTTATCGAATATCTTTTTTTTTCGCTAGGTGCGACATTCTGAAGACCTGGGAATACCGCTGTCCCAAGGCAGCTGGCTCATTTCCTATCTCGGAATCTCCTCGGCTCTCGGTCGGTTGCTCTTTGGGCGAATCTCGGATGCGTGTTCTTTTAAAAACATTCATATATACCGTTTATGCATGTTCTTATCTGGGTTAGCCTCGGTATTATGTCCCTTAGCAAGCTCCTACTGGGCCCTTGTCGTGTATGTTGTGGTGCTGGGAATTCTGGATGGTTCCTATATCGGACTGATGTCTATTGTGACCCTGGACATTGTGGGAGTGCACAAAATTGCCCCTGCCTGGGGAATCTTGTTTTTCTGCCAGTCTTTCACTTATTTACTAGGCCCTCCAACAGCAGGTAACGTTAAAATTTAATTCTCCCTGGTTATTTTTTCGTATTCTTTAAACAATTAGTTAGAGTTAGGTATTTGTTTTTCAATGAATATCTTGACTTAAAGAATTCTTGTTGCTTACTACACAAATGTGGTTAGCTCATACCGAGATCAACATGACATCTCGTCATCTGATAAACCATACTAAGTTTATGAAACATATATCACTGAGTGGAGGTGGAGAAGAACCGTCAGTGAAAGAACGAGAATCGAAAAAACGTTGAACACAGCCCACGCGCCATATTAAGTCAAAGAATCGAAATCGTCTTCGAACGCGATAAGACTATGGCAGCCCAGTTTTGGATTTTGGACACCAGTGTCCGATTTTTGATTTTGAACATTAGTAGTTCGTTCTGGATTTTAATTTAAATACTAGTATAAGATTTTTAGTTTCGGACAATGCCTTCCGATTTGGATTTTGGACCTTAGTGGCCGATTTGTATTTTGGACAGAAATGTCCAATTTTGGTTAGCGGACATTAGCGTCCGATTTTAATTTTGGAGACAAGTGGCCGATTTTGGATTTTGGACTTTCGTAGCCGATTTTGGACTTTGGACACTAGTGACGGATTTTGGACTTTGGACGCTAGTGACGGATTTTGGACTTTGGACGCTAGTGACGGATTTTGGACTTTGGACACTAGTGACGGATTTTCGACTTTGCACGCTAGTGGCCGATTTTGGATTTTGGACAGTAGTGGTTCATTTTTGATTTTGGGGGCGAGTGGCCGATTTTGGATTTTGGACGCGAGTGGCCAATTTTGGATTTTGGACACTTGTGGTCGATTTTGGATTTTGGACACTAGTGGCCGATTTTGAGATTTTGAGTTTTGGACTCTAGTGGCAGATTTCGGATTTTGGACAGTAGTGGCCGATTTTGGATTGAGGACAGTAATGTTGCAAACCATTAGCCGAGTTTGGAGTTTGGACACTACTGGCTAATTCTGCATTTTGCATACTAGTGGCCGATTTTGTATTTTGGACGCTTGTGGCAGATTTTGAATTTTGCAGACTAGTGACCGATTTTGGATTTGGGACACTAGTGGCCGATTTTTAAATGAATGATGTCTGGATTTTAGAGGATACTTCTTCTGATATATTTTCCATCTATACCGATGAAAAAATCTCTCCGGTGTAATTGCCAGATCACCCTGTCGATTCTTTAGAGAGCTAAATTGAACAATCACTAATTTAGGCGTGTGCCGGAGATACAGTGGCCTAATTGTTAGTGCACATGACTGCGGGTCGAGTGGTCTGGGTTCGAGAGCTGGCCGGGAGTATTAGTGGGAAACGGTTTATTGTCAGAGAAGCCCGATGAATCGCTGGGGGTAACTTTGCGATGGACTGGCAGGGGGAGGGGAGAGGGAGTAGTAATGCTCCTAGTCGCCCTAAGGATAAGCTCTGGCTGGGTGGGTTACATAGCTCCATTACAGGCATGCATAAATGAATTCTTAGAAGGAAAAAATGTCATTTCTTTTTTCAGGTTTCATGTACGACCATCTAAAAACGTTTAAACCTGTTTTTTATTTGGCCGCTGGACCCATGATTTTTGGCGCATTTCTATTGCTCTTCGCCACACTGTGTAAGTCAAATCAGACTTCTCTCGGCCGGCAGGACGTCACTAGCCTGGTGTCTTCTCCTAAACACTACAATGGACTGCACTCAAGTTATCGACGCTGTTCTTGTCCTCCAAAAATCTTGTTGACTGCACCAGGAGACAGAGAATCTTTGATAGTTGTGGAGCGGTTGACGGTCATTTGATGTTCAGAACTAAGAATATCGGTCTTAATTAACCCTTTGACTTCCAAGATCTAATTGTTAATTCTCCCCTTTAGTTGCTATACAATTCATTGTAAATTAGTTACGAGAACTTGGTGTTAGATCAAGATAGCAACTTCTACCTGATAACTTTGAGTATCCTAAATAATGTATGGATATTATGGGGAGAAATTGTATGTTAATCTGACTTCTGGGAGTTAAAGGGTTAAAGCGACGATCTTCGTAAAGGGTTTGGTGTAATGGAAGTCTGACATGACTTTGAAGTAAATTTTGAAATTTTTTAATAAAGTTTTGTTCGATTTATTATCTTTCTACGTCGTTATGTGGTAACCATCGTGAGTAGCCTTCCTTGTTCAACTTTGAAATAGTAATGATTCTATTCTCGCTGAGAATTCATAAGCATTCGATAAAAATATCTCTTACGGAGGTTGGTAAGTTTTTACCTTTAAAGGCTCGGAACTTAGATAAAATGGCCATGAAATTGATAACATCCTTCCGTAACCTGCCCTGTGGTTGCCTGTGGCATTTCCCAGCTGCTCTCATCCCAATTTGACTCTACTGTTTCGTGTTCCAACGACCTGTCCAGAATTTTTTAAAAGAACCTCTATGGGGGATCGGACTGTTATAGAAAAATTTCATAAAAAAAAAACGAAAAATATTTATTTAGGGAAAAGTTAATCGTTTTATTTTGAGACTTTTTTTAAATGTTTTTCTTTTCTTTTTTATTTTTTATTACGCTATACGTGCTATCCTGCTTTTTGTTATGTATCTGAATTGGTCACTTTCCCATGCACAGCACGAGATCGTGATTGAGAGAAATTATCTCTACAATGAACAAGAAATCGATGAAAATGGCATTTATTTTACAAAGGAGACCGGAAGTCTTTGGAACATGTCCACTGTTCTTCAAAAACAAGTATGGACTCCTCCTCTCGGCGGCCACAAGTTATGGCAGAGAATCAGAAAATCAGGTCAGAAAATGAAAAGGCCCGTCTCCTTTCGATTTGATCTAGTGATGATTTTTTTTTATCAATTTCACTCTTTTCATTAAACGTAGATAAGCTTTGAACGTTTGCGTTTTCCTATGCCTTAAAACCCGAGCGCGTTGTCTGTTCCTAGATAAAATTATAATTACGAACCGGATGTGAGGTACCTTTTTTCCGCCTCATATGTTTCGGCCAGGCCTGGCTGCTAAGTCATTAGTCATCGATGCTTTTGTAACAATTCATCTGGATTTGTAGTTGTGTTATACTCACGCAATATTTACCATGTTCCTGAACGACTTGCACTGCTTTGTGCATCTTGAATAACAGGTGCTGTTTGCAGAAGAAGACACTGCAATGAAGGTCCTCAAAGTGCTGATTCCCGCCACGGAGCAGGTCGGATCGCACACGGTACGAAGTCAATTCGATTAACACGATGCAGAAAACCTTAAACTGATCGCTGTCACTTTGTCGCCAACGGTTTGAAATGTGTATACTGTAATGGATGCCTAAATGTATCTACATTATTAAGTTAAATATATCCATCTTGTGAATTGTCACGTAGATGGAAAATGTTCAAATTTATTGTCACAATCGGCTGCAAAGCTAAGAAGTAGCTTGCTTTCATGATCAAGTTTTAAATTAACGCACAGTAATTTCGACACCCGTAAGTATCTGACGCAAGGTCTTTTGAGGGTCAAGATTTTGTTGAAAATGTGTTACTCATATCACCGTTTCTTTTCCTTGTCATTATAATGAAAAGAAAATATAGCTGTGTTGATCATACAGATGCAGGATACAGATGCTATAAAACGAAAGAAAACAGAGACTAGAAACAATCAGAAACAATAAGCTGACGAGATCAAAACATGTTGACTCACAGAGTGTGAGAAAGTGAATGCGAACCTTTTGTGAAAAGGCGATCCTTCGCTGAGGCCTTCTTTAGAAGTAAAAATCACGCACAAAATATTCGCTGCAAAATAATCAGGACCTTATTGATTGATTGTTAAAATCATGTTCAGGTCTATTACATAGAGGTTTTCATCAGAGAGTACTCTTGGCTGGTGGCTAGAAGATACAGAGAGTTTTATGATCTTCATGAGAAGGTCAGTAACCTTAATAATACTCTTGAAACTTAAGTTGTTCTAATTAGAATATTTAGAATTTGTGTATCAGTTAGTGTTTCCTATTGTTGTCATCCTTCCTGTCCCCATTCTCCCTCTCTGATGATGATGTGGGAAGGGAGCAAAATCAGGGCCTTTTGCATGATTTGTATGAGTCCTGGAAAACCTAGAAAGTCTTAGAATTTTGTTTTGACATTTTCCAGGACTGGAAAACACTGGTAAAAGGCTACAGCTCCCAGAAAGTCCTGGAAATCCGCTTAGCTCATGCAATCAATTTTTCAGAATTTACAAGGGAAGATGGAAAGTCTGAAAAAACCTTCACCTGAGCCTTAAGCCTTAATTAAGAGAGATCCTTAAGCCTTAAGCCTTAAGCCTTAAGAGAGAGTTACAGCAACAGAAAATATTTTATATTAGACATAAAAAATTGTTGAAGAATAATCAGAACCACAACACAACTTTAAAAATGACAAAATTTTGGAAAACTGCACTCCAAATATTTCCCACATGACAGGAAATGGGATCCTGGTGGTTTTTTTTTTCAAAAATATTGCCCGTAATGATCATTAACAATCATTATGTATCATTTCTAGCATAGACAATGAAACTAAATCAGATATATATTAAGTTCCCTAATTCTGGTTGAAAAAAAAAAATTAACAGACCCAAGACTCTTCTGTTATAGTAACTTTCCATTTTTGGTATTATTTTTTTGTGTACAGCTTGTGAAAAGTCATGGGATAGATCACTCTCTAATACCACCAAAGAAGTATTTTGGATTTCTTCAGCCTGAGTATGTGGAGAGGAGAAGGCAAGCCTTGGAAGCATACTTTGAGACACTGTTGTCGACATTTGAAGAGAACTTACCTAAAGAATTGTTGGAATTCTTAGAGACGGATAAATTTGTAAGTGTCACAGATTGATATTGTTATTGCCCTCTCTCATATCTCTCAGCTAGTTTGTGCATTGTGATTGGTCAATTCAGCAGGCAGTACATAAAAGCTAAATTTAATTTTTTTTTATTTGAAATTGCTCCCCTCTATTTGAACTCAGAGATATGATTAATAGATGACTTTTCTCAGTCGGTAAAGTAAGGACTCAGGTCTCATACCTTGTTCCTTCCCCTTGGATTTATTGCCCTTGGGCTTCGAACCTGGGCCATGAGTGTAAGTGGAAAAAACTTGGACCTTGCACTCATTTATAAGGGAGCTGTATGTGTACTGCAGCAAAAAACCAAATTTGATTGATTCAGGAAATCACAAGTGACATGATAAGTCTGTTTCTCTTTGGTCCATAGGATGTTTGTGGTGTAACTCATACTCTGGCTAAAGAATTATTTATTACTGGTGAGTGTTATTGTCACAAGGGTTATAAGCAAGAATCATTTTGGTTGCTATAGCAAGAAGAAAAATTTTGACAACATGATTTGCAGCAAAAAATGTCACTTAGGAAACTGAATTTGTTAGGTTTCATGCAAGATTATAGTAATATTCTTTTTTTCCCAGTGTTTATGGGCTTAAGTTCAAGTGAGATAACCATATGTCTTAAATATTATTTTATTTTTAATTGGTGAAATGTTTTTTTTTCTTAAGTGAAAAATTTTGTTTTGACATAAATTTAAAATTTTAGTATGCCAAAGGCTGATGTCTTTAACTCTTTACACCCTAACATCAGTATCTGTATTCTCCATACTGTTCTCTGTACATTTCTTAAGATGCCAAGAGGGAGAATTTGTTTAACAATCAAGAGCTTCTTTAGTTGCTGATGATTTCCTTTTTTCTTGTGACCTAAATGTGTGATGTGAGGGTGTTATGGTAAGGAGAAATTAGATGCTGGTCACTCTTAAAGGGTTAATGCTATTCTAATTTTTATGTTAATATATTCATCCTCTACATCTGTTAATCTATTATGCACTTTAATTTTTTCCAAAAAAAAGGAGATGCAATTCTGGCGAAGGAAGAACAATTTATTCTTACACCACTTCAGCTGCACTGTATAACAAGCAGGCTTGGCATGGCTGCACCAACATGTGGTAGGATGTTTAATATTTAATGAAAATATTGAAATATTGTGTGATCTATAATATGTTAAACTTTATAACTTTTCTGCAAACAATATCTGACAGTGATTATGGAATGGGGGATACAATTTTTTTAGTTTTAAATTTCTGAAATATTGACATGCATTTTTTCCAGTCAATGATACTATTATTATCACTTGACCCATATGAGGCCTGGCATGTTTTTATCAAAAAGTTATTGTTGTAAAAAAAAAATGGGGCAGAAGGGCTGTATTCAATATATGAGCAGGGCCAGGAAAAGCCATGATGGCATACAGCCTTACAAGATACAGGACAGAAAAAATGCAAGAAGGAAAAACGAGAAAAATGGGGGACAGGGGCATAGCCAGGATTTTTTTCAAGGGAGTAGAGGGGGGGTCACACTGTTTCAAACAGAGAGTACTCACCATTTTTTTGCTACCTGAATATTGTAGGTTGTTTGTTTAAAAAAAGGCTCAAAAAAGGGGTCTAAGGCACCTAACTCCTTCCCCTCCACCTCCCCACCCCCACCTTGCCCCTTGGGGGATCCTAAGGTAAATTATTTATTGACCAAGTTGGGTGGGCCGTGCAGAACAGCAACCTTACTGGGCTAAAGCAGTTGGTGTATCATGACCTTATGCCAAATATGTTCCCATCCAGCCTGCCCACTTAGTCAATAAGTAACTTTCACTGATTAAAGTTTTCTGAATGTGAATGCCATTTTACAGATTCCCATGTTCCACATGGTGAAATAGGCAACCTGTATGACTTCCTATATCAACTAAAACATTTGAAGGTAAACAGAAATGACTATGTGTTATTTTTTTGCTCACTTTATTTTGGTTTGTGCCTTTTTTGTCTGAGGAGTATCATGTTTATGGAATGGTTTTGTAATACTACGGTATCTTCTAGGCCTCGGGCAACAAAAAGCTGGTGGAACTGAGTGACAACATGACACTAAAATGCAACCTTGGTTTATTCAAGTCTTTGAAGACCCTTGAAGTAAGTGAAATAGGCAATTGTTAGCCTGTTGGTCAGCCAGGTGGTTATTTGGCAGTTAGGTTGGCAATTTTGGTAAGTCACATCGCTGCAGTTAGTCAGTTGCTTTGTCAGTCAGTTAGACAGTCTGGTGCTCAGTCAGTGGGTCAGACAGACAGTCAAT